CAAGCTGCCTTCCATTGACTTAGTCACGTAATAATTCCCATCCATCTGTGATTTCCTGCATGTATTTAATTAGCCTCCACTGATTTTAAACAGTTTTCTGTGATTAATAGTTCAATTCAACTTGATGTATTCTGAAACACAAAGGGACTTGGGAATCCAAGTTCAGGATTCTCTTAAGGTTGACATGCAGATTCAACTGTCAGTTAGGAAAGCAAATGCAATGTTGGCATTCATTTTGAGAGGGCTGGAAGACACAAGTAAGGATGTACTGCTGAGGCTGCATAAGGCTCTGGTCAGAGCGCCATCAGAGTATTTTGAGCCCTGTAACTAAGGAAGGATGTTCTGGCCTTGGAGAGGGTCCAGAGAAGATTTTCAGGAATAATAGTGGGGATGAAGAGCTTATCATCTGATGAGTGATTGAGGACTCTGGGTCCGTACTCGATGGAGGTTAGAAGGATGAGGGGGGAATCTCATTGGAAGTTATAGAATACTGAGAGACCTGGATAGAGTGGATGTGGAGAAGATGTTTCCATTAGTGGGAAAGAATCGGACCCAAGGTCACAGCCTCAGAGTAAAGCGACGACCGTTTACAACTGAGGTGAGGAAGAATTTCTTCAGAGGGCGGTAAAACTGTGGAACTCATTGATGCAGAAGACTCTGGAGCCCTGTCATCGAGTGTCTTTAAGACAGAGGCAACAGATTCTTAATTAGTTAGGGCGTCAAGGTTTTTGGGGAGATGGGTAGAGAATAGCGCAGAGAAACATATCGCCCATGATCATTTGGCAGAGCAGACCGATAGGCTGAATGGCCTAATTCTGCTCCTGTATTTTATGGCCGTATTTAATTCCATGGTATCACTGCAATTATCATGTCTCAATGTAATTAGAAAGTATCAATATCATTAGATAATTTCACTGTATCACACTCATCTGGTTTCCAAAAAAATGAATGCAGCTCTGAACGTATAAACAGAATGTTTTGGAGAAACGCAGCAGAATTAGCAGCATCTGTGGAGAGAGAAACATATGACTGTCTTTGGAAAAGAATGCTTCTTGACTCCAGTTTCTGTTTTTATTTCATATTTCCAGCATCTGCTGGATATGCTTTAGTTTGACTGCTCTGCCCGTGCCTTTATCATATCCTTCCAACTATTAATTAGATACGCACACATAGGTTCAATCGGTTTTGTCCTAAAGTGGCAATTAATTACATTCTGATTCAAGTAATAAGACAGGTTTATTGTTTAAAACAGGAAGGAATTCCATCTTGGAAAGAATGATTGGAGACAAAACGTTAATATCAATAGGACCCTGTAAGGTTAAGTCACTATAGTCCCTGAGGACCATAGAACTACTCTCTCATGAAAGAGAAATGATTGGTGATGAGTTTGACCTGAGAGTGACTATGCATGAGGCAAGGTGCAATGTTGAGAAGGCAGGACACTCATGGGGACCTCAGCTGGTGTGGGAATAGAACCTGCACTGTTGATATAACTCTGCATCACAAACCAGCCATCCAGTCAACATAGCATTGTCTATAAGGCATGATTCAGATGATTACTGACCAAATAACAGCGAGTTAAAAATTACCAGGGCCAGGCTTAGTTATAAACACTCCCAAATGTTAAATACCTTGCTCACACCTACTGTGACATTGATTTACAAAGTGCTTATTGATAAGAAATCAGAGATAGTTTGAAAGTCAAGCAGCAATAATGCAACAAGATTTCAGTGAGTTAATGTGGGAGAACATAGGTTACACACTATGGCAGGAAGCATAGAAGAGATAAATTTTATTGAAATGGAGACGGATTGCAGAAAGCTATTAGCACAGAGGGATTTGGGGCTCCTAATGCATGAATCACAAAAAGCTAGCATACATGTTCAGCGATAGTAGGAACTGCAGCAGTTCAGCGGTTAATATGGAAGACAAATGGAATGTTGGCCTCCTTTTGAATAAGACTGCACCAAAATCTGTATAAAGAGATAACAAGGTGTAGAGCTGGATAAACACAGCAGGCCAGGCAGCATCAGAGGAGCAGGAATGTTGAAGTTTCGGGTCTGGTCCTTGTTCTTTTCCAAGTGACACATCATCTGAACTTGGAACTCTATCACTGTTTGTTCACTGGGTCAAAGTCCTGGAACTATTTTGTTAACAGTACTGTTCATGTCCTTAAAACCCAAAAACTGCAGCAGTTCAACAAGGCAGATCAGAACTACCTTATCAGTGGCAATGAGAGAAGGTCAATAAATGCTGGTCTTTTCATTAACACCCCCATTCCATGAAAGATATTTTTAAAAAGGCATTACTTCAGACCCACACACCTGATCTTTAGGCACTTGGTGCGGAGGGAGACAGGCAAGTTGGAGGGCCTCCCCATAGGTCCGCTCCTGGCCTAGTCAAGCTGACAATTAGCAGGCCCAGACAGCGGGCAGTAGAGGGTGTCATAGTTGCTGACTTATTGGCTCCTATTCCACAGCTATGTTTGTGCCTGTGTATCTTTGGAGAGGGAGCATGTGGCGTCCAACAATACTATCGATGCCTTAAGAGAAATGGGCTCTGCAGGTGTGGAAAGCTTATCACTCCTTCCAATTTCATTTTGAATTAATCCCCTCCCTCTCTCCCTATCTCTCCCTCACCTCTAGTGTCATTACACTGCCCTTAACAGGGTTTATACATGAACTGATGAATTGGAAACTCGGGTGATTTACTGGTGGTGGATAATAGGTGGAAAGTAACTGGATAGAGAGAAAACAAATAAAATCAGAAGGAGCATCATTCATGAAATTAGCCATTCAAATATTTATACTAAGTGAATTTTGAAACAAAGATTTTCAAAGCAAATCACAAATTTGTATGAATTAGAACATTAGAACTTTTATTGAGCAGGCTTACTTCCTTTGGCACATTTGGAAAGCATGAATATTGAGCTTGTTACCACATCTTCTAACAGCACCAATTCTCCTAACATACTGATATCCAACACCAGACTGATCTTTAGATAATTTCTCATACTATTGCACATCTGTGGAACAGGTGGGACTCGACCCGGGCCTCATGGTTCAAAGGTCCAGTCTGAGCTAGGGAGGCATACGTAAACAATTTCATAGTTAAGGATCATTAATTTCAACACAACTTAAAGATTCATTGTGTCAGCATCCAAGAGACTACAACTGATTCGTTGTAGCTTGTTACCAGTTATCAAAGTTAATTTATATCTGAACAAAAGCTGAGCAGAGAGCCTTTCATGATTTAAGTGGAGCTTTATCTTAAATCTGCATTTCTGTTGTCATGTGAAATTATTTCTGATTACATTAGATCGATATTTTTACATAGTATTTGCAGAAAAAGACAAATACATTTCTTGAATGGAATCCAGTCCAGAATAACAAATTAAGAAAGCAGTTGAAACAAGTAAACACTACGTTTTGGCTAAGTGTGAGTCATGTTCAGTATCGCAGAATGAATTTCAGTGCGAATCTCAGCAAGTTTTCTTGCCATATCATACTAAGCTTACTGCTTTATTGCCATTTGAGCCTTTGTAGTGAGATTCACATCAGATTTCGCACCATCTTACGATGCACTGTTCACACAGGAACTTGCCACTCAGCGGATGTCTTCCATAAGACCAGCATCCTTTGGACAGTGCCATCTTTCAAAGCCTGCTATATACCTGCAGGAATGCTGCCATCTGGAACTTGTCCTGATTGCAATATTAGAAGCCAGGAGAGAGGGCAGAGAAGGGGAAAGTGACACCACACATGTTGGACAGGGACCTGAAGGTCCTTGCGGATGGGATGATGAACAGTCGAGGTGTCCTCTTCTCAAAAACTGAAGATGAAGTCAAGTCACTGCACTATGCCAGCTGGTTGAAGATGAGCACCTGGATCAGTGCCATCTCCAGATTGATGAGAATTAGGCAACAGTGCAGGAAGAAGGTCAATGATCTTTTCCAATCCTCCAGGGTGAGCTACCTCTCATAAAACTGGGCCACTTCCCCCCCACCTCCCACCAACTCTTATGCTCTGCCTAACCTTGTGATGCATACAACATCTACCCTCACGAGCTCTCATTACCCACCAACTTCATACACCACCAATCCCACACTCCCTTGGAACTCCTCACTTTCCTCAAATGCACCGGCCCCAAAAGTCGTGCCATCCACTTGATTCTAATCAATTTGCTCCTTTATGTCATTACAGGAAAAGACATCCCATAACAGGGCTGAGCGATGCCACACAGGTGAGGTAAGTGCCAGATGTTCATGTCTTCACCTGTTCCGAGGAAAGAATTCTCGATCTAGCAGGAGAAAACACGGACTGCTTCTATGGGGTTGACAAGTCCAGAAGGAAGTAAAACTTGTCATCCCAGCACAAGAGTCACATTAACCAGGCATTGAACACAACAAACCACTGGCTGTAATGCCTTCTGCATCTTATGTCCAGCAGATGAATTCATCTCCCCAGTCCTGTCCTCAACAGAGGACAACTCCTTGACCTCTCCAAATCATCAGGGAAGCATTGGAGGAACCATTCATTGCTCACACAGATCTTCTGGAGCCAGTAGCCAGTCAAACCCACCAAGAACCTACTCTGGTTTCCATGGCAAGTTTTCCTGATGGCCAATTTGTGTGGCAAATTTGGTAAGATCACACCCCATGGTGGTCTGGGCTGTCAACAAGCCATATAACAAGCAATGGACATTGTCAACCAGGAACTCGCTGTTCCCAGGCAAGGATCCTGCCATGCTGCTTGATAAAGGGAAAAGGTTGTAGCAAGATGATCTCGACATTGAGATGACCATCTTGACTGATCCTAATACTCATCTTGCCACAACCCATATTGTTTACAGCCTGGTAAGATTTTGCCTGCTCATTATTAAACTTCAGGAAATCTACATTTGTTTTACATTATTTGTTAACACAAAACAAGGGCACAGCAAAAATTAATTAATACTTTACAAAAATATATATATACATGTGTTATTCAGCTAAATCAGACTTGTAATAAAACTGTACATTTATTCACTTCTATCAAATATCTCCAACAATGACATAGAAGTAATGTAACATGTTGGAAATTAATATAAATCAATGTGTTTTACATTGGAGTGATTTAAAGTAATTAGCGTACAAACATAATGATCAGTGTTTACATTTCAGAAAATACTGAAATTTCAGTTTTTCAAGTTAATTTCCTGCAGCCACGATTCCTCTTAACCCAAGTGAGAAATACAGTCCAACAGTCAAAACCATTCACAGTATTTCTGTAAGAAAACCACAAGTGTATGTTCAGAGTTAACTGTGTTGAAAATATTCTTTTTCTTTCCCAGCGCACTGTGATTGATCCAATTTTTACCTCTGCTGCAAAATAGGGATCTTCTTGACAAACACCAGCCTGGATTGAAAGCCAAGTTCTTTAGCATGTAGACTTTTGCATTTGAACACTGTGTTTGGCTGATGGTGTTCATAGAAAACTAATGTGAATCATTGTTTCTTTGCAGAGAAAGGATTAGTGAAGAGTTCAGTCGAATGCCATAAGACACTCGGTGTATTATTCTGGACGAGAGTTGCATTAAAATCAGTTTTGAGATGATCATAATACAGGAAGTGACAGTATGTGAAATAACTCATGGTTTAAATTCATCTTCCCTCATTCACATAAGATAGGATTTGGTTGATATATCATATCACATTTTCTTAAAGTTGTTGCCATCAGTGGACTTGCTGCAAGTAGAAATAAGAATTAATCACTGCAACTGCTATCAAACATTAGGTCTCTGGTCAATTGTCATGTTAAAAGAAGAAAATATAATTTATAAAAACTGTGATAGAAGACTTTCAAAAATGTGCAGGTATTTGTAATTAAATTTACCATCAGGGTTTCAGATTCTTTTGTAATTTCTGAAACTAAAACAATACAACAATTAATAAATTGTTTCTGGCATATAGCAATTGTTTTGAATTAACATAAACTGCTGCAAAAATTTGCAGTTTATTAATTTTTTTGGTTCCAAACTCAATCATGGAAGAGGCAATAATCTCTGGATGATCACAATACCAGTCATAAAAATTAAATTTTACCAACTTATTTTGTGCCTCTCCTTTGTGTGACACTAAAAACAATTTTTTAACCAAATGGTTCCAAGATAATTGCAATCAGTCAACGTATAAAGTTGTAGTTCTCTAATTTGATTAGGAGGCCACTGTATCATAATTATTATGTTACCAAGTTGCTAGTATCTGCACTAGCAATTTGGAATTATAAATTCCCATTCACAGTGGGAGAATTTGATTTGAGATTTTGCTTTAAAGTGACTTATATCAGTATACGTAATAAGGAGGCTACAGTTATTTTTAGAACATTGCGGGAGCTCAGGGAGAGTGAATGTTTGGCTCATACGACATTTATATATTATCTATTCTTTCTTTGATCAAAGATTGTAACTAATTAGGCAAGGTTCATAGCTTGAAATATCTCTACATTTCAAACTATTTAGCAAATTATTCAGCAAACAATTCCTCAGCAGTAATATAAGAGTATTTGTTTTCCAATAATTCAGCCAAGTGCTTATATAAGTTGCAAAGTGTTAGCAAGGAAATTAGGATGGACAGAATTTAAAACTGTTTAGAATGTTGGAGATTCTGTTACTTCTTTTTATTTAGCCTTGAAACTTGTACAGTTGGCACATAATGAGGTTAAAGTGCATTGGTTTCCTGATTATAAGCATATTTGAAATAAGGGATGATAACATGTGTTTAAAGCAAAAAAAAGTCATAATTTATGTACTAATCAAGAGTTTTAAAAGGAACCAGAATCCAAAATCATCATACCTACATGCGATCTTCTCCTAAATTGCAGAACAGCAGAGATTACTAATGCAACAAAAAGTAATGCCATAATCACAGGGACAATTACGAAAGCTTTTTTCCTTTCCTTTCCAGAAATCTCAGTCGAGGTCGAATTTGGATGAGAGACTGCAACAGAAAATGTGAGTGAGAAATATTTAATTAATTATTGCTAAGATGAGACTAAGAGTTGTAGTTTTTCATCTTGTACTCCTTAGAATAAGGTTGCAATAAACAGATTTGTAAAACAAAATAAAACCTCATTTTATACATTTTGTACAGAATGAGAAGAGGGTGCTGATTATTTGGGTCATATCTGACCTGGAGCTACAGCATGAATAATTAATGATCGATCTTAATTCTCAGACCAGCCACGTAGATTCTGATTGGGCTGGGCATAGATATACCCAACTACGACACTGTTCATTAACAATAACAAAGTTGACCTTTAAACAACAGTGAGGAAAAGGACTGCAACAATTTAAAAATAATGTTCCACAAGTTCTCAGCAGAAAATAGTCTTGAGTAATAAATATGATCCACATTTGCAAATAAATGAAACATATTAATTCTTTAAATATATACTTTCCAAAATCCTTTCAAGCATAAACGTGGTGAACTTACATGAAATATTTTCCTTCACCTCATATTTACTGTCTTCTATGCTCCACATGGCACAAGTATAAACACCTTCTGAGGTTTCTATTTTTTCCTTGGTTGGAAGTGTGTTGCTGATCTTGTACAGTCCCTGTGGTGTTTCTTCAATACTAGTATTAGTATTGGATGTGAGGTTTGTTTTTGTATTCAAGAACCAGTGCATCTGACCCAGTGGATATCCAGTTGCTTCACAAGTGACGCTGACTATTCTCGATGATACGATGTTTGGGAAAACAGTCATGTTGTATGGAGCTAAAAATGATGATTGCATTATTATTAGTGGAATGAGCTTCATAATTCAGATTTAGAAACTGAAGTTAAATTCTACCAGTTGTCAGAGTAAGATTTTCACCCATAATCACTGAGATTAACATGGGTCTCTTGGAATTCTCATCCAATAAACATGGTCGCTATGCCACTATCACCATTTGTTTAGTCAGTTGTTTCCAGGGCACAGTTTAGCAGCAAAACTATGTTGTTGGAAGAGTGATTATCATTCATTCTTGAAGTAAAGGGCTTATTTTGTGAAGCAAGTTTGAACTGGTTGGACATAAATCCATTGCTGTTTAGAGAAGTGAGAGGTTATCCTGTTGAAACATAGGACTGAATCCTTTTTTTGGTTAACTTTGGGATATGTCAAATTTTTTGGAGGATTTCTCACCATGAGACTAATAGGTTTCCTTGCAGTATCTTAGTAAACTCACCACATTAATTAGGTCTCCTGCTTCTGTGGCATCACAAACATTCATCAAGTCATAGAGTCATACAGTAATACAGCATGGAAACAGCCCTTTGGCCCAAACTAGTCCATGCTGACCATGATGCCCACTCAGCTAGTTCCAATTGCCCGCATTTGGTCAATATCCCTCTAAACCCTTCTCATCCATGTATCTATTCAAATGTTTTTTTTAAATGTTGCTATTGTACCTGCCTCAACCACTTTCTCTGGCAGCCCATTCCATATATTCAACACTTTCTGCGTGAAGAAGTTGCCCCTCAGGTCCTATCCTCTATCGTCTCTCACCTTAAACCTATTCTGTCTAGTTTTCAATTCATCATTCCTGGGAAAAAGACTATATGAATTCATTTTATCAATACCCCTCATGATTTTATACACGTCAATAAGGTCACCCCTCATTCTCCTACATTCCAAGGAATAAAGTCCTATCCTGGCCAACCTCTCCCTATAACTCAGATCTACTAGTCCTTGTAGGACTACGATCCTCGTAAATCTTCTTTGCACACTTTCCAGTTTAACTATGTCTTTTCTATAACAGGGTAACCAAAACTGTATACAATACTCCAAGTGTGGCCTCACCAATAACTTATACAACTGTAACACAGCATCCCAACTCCTGTACTCAGTGCCTCGACCGATGAAGGCCCGCATGCTAAATGCCTTCTTTACCATCCTGTCCACTTATGACACCACTTTCAGCAAACTATGTACTTGAACTCCTAGGTCCCTCTGTTCCACAACACTCCTCAGGACCTTATCATCACTGTATAAGTCCTACCTTGGTTTGACTTTCCAAAGTACAACACCTCACGCTTATCTGTATTGAATTGCATTTCCCAGCTCACTTCCCCATCTGATCAAGATCCCTCTGTAATTTTTGATAACCTTCTTTGCTATCAATGATACCTTCTAATTTTGTATCATTCACAAACTTACTTACCATGCCTTGTACATTCATATCCAGATCATTTATGTCAATAACACATAACAAAGATCCCAGCACCTACCCCTGTGGCACACCACTAGTCACAGGCCCCCGGTCCAAGAAACAACCTTCAACCATCACCCTCTGCTTCCTACCATCGAGCCAATTTTGAAACCAATTAGCTAGCTTTCCCTGGATCCTATGCGACCTAACTTTCATGACTAGCCTGCCATGCGGGACCTTGTCAAAGACCTTACTGAAGTCCATATAGACAACTTCCACTGCCCTACCCTCATCTATCCTCTTGGTTACCTCTTCGAAAAACTTTAAAAGATTTGTCAGACACAATTTTCTGCACACAAATCCATGCTGACTATTGCTAATCAGACCCTGACTATCCAAATGTTGGTTGATTCATTTCCTGCCCCATTGTAAAATATACTTTTCCCGGAACAACTTGCCATTCACTGGATATCCCGGAATTCAACATCCCTTGCACCAATGCAATCTTTAAAAGCCCATTGTGCATTCAGATAAGCACTATCAGTCTGGAGCTACCCTGCATGGTTCCTGACATTTACCTTGGAGTTTCCAAATAGAGAGCAATCATTGGCCTCTTTTTGGGGGAGTGTCCAGGAGCTCCTGCTGGAATGGGGTGGTGCACTGCTGGGACTTCTTGTTCCTCAATGACCAGCAGTGGAGCCCGTGACCCCTGATTGTGGCAGCCTGGTTGAAGATTGCTGTTCTTGTTAAAGCAATCTCAGCAGCCTCGAGGAATGTCCAGCAGTGTAAGAAGAGGGTTAATGTTCCTCTCCACTCTGCCAGCATAAAGGCCACCAACATCTCTCCAATATCTCACATTCACTGTATCTCTGCTACTCTACCTCCACCTCCTCCACCAACCATTCCCCCACCATCATTACAGCTCACGCTCTAGCCCCACTCTCACTATCTGCAACATCTTGCCCACTCACCTTCCCCAACCCCAAACCCTGACATCACTAACCCTGTGTGCTTTGTGTGCTGCTGACTCACTTACATGGGCCACCTACCCACTTTCATCAACAGTATTAACTGTGCCACCCACATTCATCTCCCTTAATATCTGCCTCCTTCTCATTCCACGAGGAAAACAGCCCACAGCAGGGAAGAAAGAATCAAGACAGACCGTGTACTTATGAGGAGAGGATCTCATTCTGACTGCCCTGAACAGGGTCTGGACTCGTAGCAGAGGCTGCCCATGATTTACTATGCTGGGAACACCTGAAACAAGGCTATCCTTCTTGACTTGACTGAGGCTTGCTGACAAAAACAAGTTCCCTGGCTCCCTGGTACTAAAGATGTAGTAAATTTGCAATACTGTGAGCCTGGTTTCTCTGGCTGAAGGGACAAAATGTAACAAGGAAGATGAGGCAATGCAAGCTGGGAAGTTATAAGCATCCAGGTAGGTTCAGTGAGTGAGTGCAGTGACAGCAAGCAAACAGGCCTGAGGTGCAGCCTAGTCCAGTCCATGAGCTGGAGGTGTTTCCCTGAGCAGAGTGCCATTGTTGCAGCATTACAATGAGAGCTACAGAAGTTACCCAAGATGCATCACTGAATAGTAGAAGCATCCTATTAGTGCACAGGAGATGGGCCATGGAGGTTCTTAGAAGCTGGCACGTGAAAATTGCCAATGTCTGCAGATGTGAGATGCATGTGCCCAGCCCCCATGGAGCATGCCTGAGACATTGGCACCCAGTTTCTAACATGGAGACCACTCAGAGCAGGCAGCTGGCTCCAACAGATGCTCACTCGGGATTCCTTGTTGATTTTTCCCAACATCGAGCTTGATTTGTGGGTTTGGTAAGATGGGAGGCTGAATATTAATGATTCCATTTGTGGTATTAATTGGGCATTTAACATGTCAATTGGCAACTCATTTTTACCAAATAAGATTCTCGAAATGGCACTTATGAAAAGCATCAAAGATGGTACAAGTTGCTCCTGACATCAGCATGGACCTGATTATATCACACATCTCATTGTAGTCCATGTTGTTCAGACCCCTATGAAATTCCTCCCACAGAAGATCTAAAGGGGACTGAAAAGATCAGATTCCTAGAGGATGTTTCTGCCATAGTTTGAGAATAAGCGATCTCTCTTTTAAGACAGAGATGAGGAGAATTTTTTTTCTCTCAAATGGTTATTGGAGTGTGGATTTCTCTTCCCAAGAAGACATACTTGCATTGGTTACATTAGACAGAATGTTCACAAGATTATTTGCAGGAATGGGAGGGGCTGTCCTATGATGAGAAATTGAGTGAATTGGGCTTATATTACTGTACATTAATGGGGTTTAGAAGAGTGAGAGGTTATCTCATTGAAACATACAAGATTCTGAAGGGGCTTTACATGATAGCTGTAGAGAGATTGTTTCTGCCAGTCAGGGAATCTAAAACATAGTGGCACAGTTTCAGGTAAACTAATTTAAGGTTGATTTGAGGAGAAAATACTTCATTCACAGGGCTGTAAACTTTTTAAACTTTCTTCAACCCAGAGGGTTGTGGATGCTCCATTGTTGAATACATTTAAGACTGACAGATTTTGGGGGAGCGAGCAAGGCAGTGGAGTTGCAGCCCATGGTCAAATAACATCGTACTGAAAAATGGAGCAGGCTTGATGGCCTGAATCATTTATTCCTGCACCTATTCACTTTTAAAATGAGAACAAAACTGGAATTTGTTATGAAATACTTGCAACCAACATCTATAATATCAAGGAAAGAATGCAGTCACCCACCTTTAACCTTCAAATTGATGTCAGCATTTTTGTGACCAACAGTTGTCTGCAATTGATATTGATATATCCCATTATCTGACAACTGTGTGTTCTGGATCACCAGTGATATGTCTTGAGATGCTGGGTGAAGTAATTTAATCCGACCCTGAACTTCATTGACGCTTTTCTTGAAGTTAAACACTTTTACATTTTCTCCCTGTTTAACTAGTACAATGTCTGTCAAGTTCCACTCCTCTTGTGAAGTGAGTGCGCACAGTAGTTTAGTGTCTTTGTTAAATATTCCTGTCACCGAAGAGTTACAAAATAAATCCAAGAAACCTGAAAAACAATAATTTTCATTCACTCACATTCCTTCAGTGGGAATCAGTATTCTATAGAGCTATATATTGAAAAGCATCTTAGAACTTACAGTCTGCAAATGATGGAAGGATGTAGAAGATGACGGGAAGAAGACTTATTGTATGGTATGAAGCCATTTCCAGACTTATTTCACCTGTTAAGGGATAATACAGAAAACACGTTAACCTAATCTGATTTCACTTTATTTATGAATCAGATTTCTTTCATTAACGATAATGACTAACAACCAGTCCATCAGATATATTTACATTGGTAGAAATGGTTTGAATGCTCTCAATTATTATATGTTAGTGTATAACTTACACGTTTTTGTGGCGGATGCCGACCACTCTCACAGCAAGAATTCTGGAATGTATCACCAATCAAACAGTATAGCAAGAGACACTGCAATAATGCCATGGCTTCAAACTTGACTGAGATGGGCAGTGTTTGGCTCAGATTGCAGATTTGCATATGTGCTGAATGACATTTTCAGTCCACAGAGGGTGTCTTGTTGCCAGGACCCTTCCCCCCAACCCCCCGACCCTTTCCAGCTGCCCCTGTTTGATGGGTTTGGCTTTTAAGTTGGGCAGGGACTTGACAAGGCTGCAGCAGTGACTCAGAGCCTGGTGTTGTCCTATCCTGGACCTAAGGATGGTTTGATTCCGGATCGGACATCCTGCCTCCATATCCTGTGCTGAGATGTCTAAATCCAAATAACCATCAATCATTTTGCAAGTCCTGATATGTAGACTCCAAATTTGGTGATTCCCACAGATATTACCATAATTTCAGTGAAAGATAAATTAAAGTTCTGAACTTAGTGTTGGGTTTATTTCCATCTCAGTTGAACTGATAATACAATTCTGGTTAAATCGGGGTAAACTCCAGACTATCCTGCTCTCTCTATTGCTCATCTACTTACAGAATAAAGAATCATGAGCAATCAAGAAGGACATGTTTAAACATCCCAAAGCATTTGTAGTTCATTTTGAGTTATAGAGTCATTGTGTTGTACAGCACGGAAACAGTCCCTTCAGTCCAACTCACCCATGCCAAGCAATTATCCTAAGTTAATCTAGTCCCATTTGCCAGCATTTTGTTCATATCCTTCTAAACCCTTCCTATTCATATAACCATCCAGATGTCTTTTAAATGTTGTTATTGTATCAGCCTCCACCACTTCCTCCGGCAGCTTCTTCCATACACGGACCACCTCTGTGTGATAAAGTTGCCCCTTAGGTCCCATTTTTATCTTTCTCCTCTCACTTTAAGCCTATGCCCTCTAGTTTTGGAGTGTCCCATCCCAGGGAAAAGACCTTGGCTATTTGTCCTATCCATGGCCCTCATGATTTTATAAATTTCGATAAGGTTACCCCTGAACCTCAGATGCTCCGAGAAAAATAGCCCCAGTCTATCTAGCCTTTCCCACAGATCAAACCCTCAACCCTGGAACATCCTTGCAAATCTTTTCTGACCCCTTTCAAGTTTCACAACATCCTCCCTATAGTAGGGAGACCAGAATTGCATGCAGTATTCCAAACATGGCCTAACCGATGTCCTATACAGCTGCAACATGACCTCCCACTGCTACACTGAACCAAAAAAGGCAAGCATACCAAACACCTTCTTCACTATCCTATTTACCTGTGACTCCACTTTCAAGCAACTATGAGCCTGCACTCCAAGGTCTCTTTGTTCAGCAACACTCCCCAGGACCTTACCATTAAGTGTATAAGTCCTGCCCTGATTTGTCTTTTCAAAATGCAGCACTTCACATTTATCTGATCAAGATCCCATTATACTGTGAGATAACCTTCTTTACTGTCCACTACACCTCCAATGTTGATGTCATCTGCAAACATTCTAATCACACCTCTTATGTTCATATCCAAATCATTTACATAAATGTTAAAACACAGTGGACCCAGCACCAATCATTGTGGCACACACCTGGTCACAGGTCTCCAGTCTGAAAAGCAAGCCTCCACCACCAGCCTCTATCTTCTACCTTCAAGCTAGTTCTATATCCAAATGGCTAGTTGTCCTTGTATTCCATGTGCTGTAATCTTGCCAGCCAGCATACCATGAGGAACCTTGTCAAACACCTCACTAAAGTCTATATCAATCATGTCCACTGCTCTGCCCTCATCAATTCTCTTCATTACTTCATCAAACAACTCAATCAAGTTAGTGAGACACTATTTACCACGCACAAAGCCATGTTGACTATCCTTAAACAGTCCTTGCCTTTCCAAATTCATGTAAATCCTGTCCCTCGGGATTCCCTCTAACAACTTGCCCACCACCCATGTCAGACTCACGTGAACAATCTTTGAATATTTCCAAATAGTTATACTGGCTGCTGGAGCTTAATTTTTAAGATTTTAACCCAGAGACATCTCCAGTGTCAATGATAGAGGTTTAGGTTTTGCAAACACCGTCTGCAAGACATGACCTCATCCTACAGGGCAAAGCCAGTTTCTGGAGGTATGACCAGAGTTGTACCAGACTGGAAACATTAGCTCCGCCTCTCTCTCTACAGATGCTGCCAGACCCACTGAGGTTGTCCAGCATTCTCTGTGTTTATTTGTAGAGGTTTGGTGCATATCTGAAATCAGTGAGGAGCTCACTACTGCTCACAGTGAGAAGGAACTGCATCAGGAATCTATTACTCTCTCCTGTATAAAGCAATCATGCAAATTACAAATTTAAGCCCATTTCTGAACAAGGGTCCAGACCCGAAACGTCAACATTCCTGCTCCTCTGATGCTGCCCGTCCTGCTGTGTTCCTCCAGCTCCACACTGTGTTATCTCTGACTCCGGCATTCGCAGCTCTCGCTATCTCATACAAATTACAAAATAATTATTCCTCACTAGTGGAGTTCCAAAGAGCAATAAACTACATTTAAGGACTTTTTTTTTGTAGCTGCCCGCTTTCCCCTGCAGAGATCTACGAACACATTCCTGGTCGTCGTGATTTTTTTCCGTAAATTCTTATTTTTTTTTGTAAATTCCGTAGGCATTGCGACAATCGAATTTAGGATATTTTATTTCTTTTAAAAAAATCCGTTTCCATTTCTGTTTTGTTTCATTGTTTTTAAAAGCAATCCCCCATCTCTGATCAGTTTCTGCAGTTATATTGTATCCAGAGTTCACACACTTCACACAACTGTCAATAAAAATATTCCTATAGTTTTTGAACATCAAACTGTACCTTTGTTGCAAACAATCTGTGGAAATCCGACCAGCCCAGCACTAATCCGAAATTCAATCTGATCCAAGGAAAGTCACCATTTATAATCGGACGCCTTGACAATTCTGAGAACGATTCAGAGATATCGGCACAAAAGCGGCGAAGTTCCCTGCTCCCCGTTGTCTTGTCTAAGTGCAAACAGTGAAACAGTCTCCTGCTGTCTGTCTGAACTGGTGAAGGCAAAGAACACAGCTGGCGCTCCCCCTTTTTCTTCTGGCTTGTGAAAACACTTTCTGTTTTGAACTGACTGGATCGTAGGCGAGTTGGTATCGGCAAAATTGGATTATCGGGAGAAATGGAACGGAGAGCGAGCAGACTTTCCCCGGAACACTAACCAGCCTGCATCTTAAATCGAGATGAAATAAGGAGCAGGATATACAATTGTTTCCCTGGTGTGTACTAATATGAGAACTTCCTTTATTAAATTATGCTTTGTGGTTTTCAAGTCTTGCAAAGGGGAACAATGTTTTCACATTGCAGGATACGTAAATGCTTCTGCAGAACGCTAGATGGAGTATAAACCCAATTTCGCCAAACCGTGAGATGAAATCGTGCTCATTCGTATAAAGAGTTCAGCCTAGAATTTCTAGTCCTCCAGAGGGGTGTATTGCTGCACTGGTCGTTAGTTTTTATTTTATTTAAACGGGCAATTGCAGCCTTTCTCCTGAAAGTAATTTGTTATTCTCTTTCTCTTGCTATTGTTACACAAACAGGGAAAAATAAAGCTACTTTGTTAAATTCAGGGAATAACCCCACATGTCCACTACAAAACACGAGCATAAAATCGATCAGAGTGAGGCTTTGGACAAATCAATGGCAAATTCATGTTGATAAAACATCAGGAACAGACAATATGTACACAGAGATTCGCAAAGCCGCTGATGAGTTGTGCATCAACTTCCAAAAGGCATTTAGTAAAGTGCTGCCCAACAGACGTGAACGAAGTGGACTTGTGAAGTAAAAGGGACAAATACAACCTGGATTGTTTTTTTTTAAAAAAGGGTCAAATGACAGAAGACAGTATAGTAGTGAACAGTTGTTTTTGAACTGAGGGACCTTTTATCGTAGAATTCCCCAGAATTTGGTGTCAGGATCCTTCTCTTTCTGCTCTATTTTAGTAACGTAGACCTTAGGGTACATCACTCCAAAATTTGTGAGCAAGGAAACTCGTTACCAGTGAATAGGATTGCCTGGAAATTCAAAAGCACATAGACAAGTTGGTGGGATAGGCAGACAAGACTCAACTAAAATTTAGAGCAGAGTAGTGTGAAGTTGTTCAATTTGTCTGGAAGAGTGAGGAGAAACGATATAAAAGGTACAATTCTATAGGGAATGCAGGATCAGAAGGACCTGGAAATATTTGTGCATAATTTTTTGTTTTGTATTCATTCATGAAACTGAACTTTGCTGCCTAAACTAACATTTATTGGCCATCCCTAATTGCTCTGAGGGCAATTAAGAAACAACTATATTGTTTTGGGTCTGCAGTCACATGTACAGCAGACAAAAGTGACAGATTTCTGTCTCTAAAATACAGTAATGCACCAGATGGGATTTACAACAATCAACAATAGTTACATAAAGACCATTAAACCAGCTTTTGGTGGGATTTGAACCCATGGCACCAAACTATTAAAGACAATAAGGATTGCAGATGCTGGAAGCCAGAGTTTATAGGTGTAAGGCTGGAAAAGCACAGCAAGTTCTCACAAAGGGCTTCAGCCCAAAACATTGACTCACCTGCTCCTTGGTGGCTGTTTGACGTGCTGTGCTTTTCCAGTCTCCTACCAAACTATTAACCTAGCCAATAGATTACTGGTCCAGTGACATGGCCACTAAACCAGTGATCCACCTTGAAGGTCCAGAGCAAGTTTAAAAATTTTTATAGCATTTGAAATCCTATCCTTTATAATAGGAATGTACAGTTCAGAAGCATGGAACGTGTGATAAACCTGCATAAGACACTGAGTCCACCTCATTTAAAAATTGTGTCCAGTTCTAGGCACCACGTTAGGAAATATATGAAGGTATTAGAAAAGATTAAGAAAAGATTCACAAAAATGGTTTGGGGTTAAGGAATTCAGTTGCACTGATAGATTGGAGAGGTTGGAAATGTTCTCCTTAGAGAAGTAAAGTCTGAGAATTCATTTGTTTGAGGTAGTCAAAAACACGAATATCTGGGCAGAGCAGACAGGGAGAAATTGTTCTCCCTGGTGGGAGGATTGAGAACCAGAGGGCACAGATTCAAGGTGATTGACTAAAGAAGCAATGGCAACATGAGGAATTAAATCAAGCAGCAAAGGATCTGGAATGTATTGCCTAAAAGGATTATGGAGATACAAACAGAATGTTGGAGATACTCAGCAGATCTGGCAACATTTGAGGTGAGAGAAGCAGAGCTAATATTTCAAGTCCGGTCTGATCCTTCTTCAGAGCTGCAGCGGAGCATAACAGAACTGTGCTGAACTACATTGATTCTGTGATTCTATGAATGATAGTGCCTGAGTTTAAACAAGTCAGGTTCATCCCATAGACACAGATGAAATAGTAATGTGTCACAGTCACTAACAGTGACAAAGAATATTCTTTAAGATTTTGGGGGAGTCTGTTTTATTGCTGGGCAAGGATGAGATGATTCAAACAAGGACTTATAAGACTGATAGCCACAGACCTGGGGCTGATAATGGCATTCAAGGACCTTCAGGGAATGAGGAGATGGAGTTGACAGACAGTTAGAGAGCACAGAGTGGGCCAGGGATGAGTAATTTGAGTGTTGATGGTGACTTAAGTAGTAAAGCATAGACGGTGGGAGTGTTTGAACTAAAACTCGAATATGTGATTGCTTAAGGAGAGATGATTATTTACATTGCTAATCAAAATGGGGCAGGAGGGGAGATTGACAGTTTACTGCCTTTATTATCTTTTCAGGCAGTAAAAAACAGACGTCCAGCATTGCCTGCGTGAAAACAAATTCCCATCAACTCCCTCGTAATCTTACCATAAATTACGTGAGACCTATGTTCCTAATTATTGGCATCACGACTAAGTGAAATAGATCCTTCCCGTGCAGTTTACCTTGCACCCCTCCCCCCACAATTTCATACATCCGTGTTCATCCTGCTCCAAAGAAAACAAATCATCTTATCTGATCTTTTCACAAGGCTAAAAGTCGTTTTTGCTGGCAATTTTATGGAGAATATTTGGGAGGAATGGATTTAAACTATTAAACAGTTCACCTTCAGAACATGTCAGCTGGCAACCTGGGCATCTGCTCTGGCAGTGAGGAGGTTGGAGCTAACAGGAGGCAAGAGTCCTCATTGAAAGAGAAGCAATGTTGAGCAGGCTGCTTCTGGAATCATAGAATGGTTATAGCACAGAAGAAGGCCATTTTTCCCCCATGTTTATGCTGGATCTCCACAAAATTAACTTGTTAAGTAATCCAGCACTTCCTTTCACTGTATCAGTGGAATTTTTTTGCTTTTCAGATAATTATTTCTGAACATGGACAAATACAACAGCAAGTAACCCACCCAGCAGCTAAAGTCAGTCTGGGTGAGTGAACAATCACAATTGGTTATTAGGAGCATGGATTGTAGGGCATCTGTCATGCAAAAATTTATTTTAACAATTTATCGCTCTCAAAACTTTTCAGCAGTACCGGCAATTAAATGTACATGTGTAAGCTCAAGTATTTCTAACTTAAAATAGCAATGGATGTCCTAAGCCTTTCATTGGACCTATGTATTTAATATGAAGGGTCTTGTGGTTCTATAGTAATGTCCCTACCTCTAAGCCAGAAAAGCTGGGTTCAAGGTCCACCTGTTCAGAGGTGTATCATAATGTGTCCAAACAGGTTCAGTCAAATTACTATATTTTCTCTCTATTCATTGACAGGATGAGGGCGTCACTGGCTAGGCAGCATTTATTGCCCATCCCTAACTGCCCAGAGGGCAGTTAAGAGTCAACCACATTGCTATGGGTCTGGAGCCACATGTAGGCCAGACCAGGTAAGGATGGCAGTTTCCTTCCCTAAAGGGCATTAGTGAACCAGATGGGTTTTTCTGACAATTGACAATAGATTCACGGTGATCATTAGAATGTTAATTCCAGATATTTATTGAATTCAAATTCCACCATCTGCCATGGTGGGATTTGAACTTAGGTCCCCAGAATGTTATCTGGGTCTCCGGATTAACAGTCCACCGATAATATCACTAGGCCATTGCCTCCCCCCATCTATATAGGGAATTCAGTGGTGGAAAATATGGAAACCTCAAGAGCAAGCTAATTGGTTGCTGACTATAAGCTGTTATTAAGGAAATTACAGACTCAGGAAAGGCATGATAAGATCACCAGGATCAGGTTTAGTTCCAACAATTTGCAATGTTAACCTACTCACATTCACGGGCATGGGCTGACAGGTTCTTGGAAATTTACTGTATCTGAGAAACATCAGCACAGCAAAAAAAAAATTGTGCTTTCTCAAGAGGAAAACTTGGAATGTAGGAAAGCATACAAGCAATGTTATGACAAAATTAGCTACCCGGAGATGTGCACTAAGAAAAAAAGCTCCAAAGGCACACAGTAGTGCAAATTTGCATGAACAAGGATTATGGTAAGAGAATTTTTATTTGGGGATATGACCAGAATAATTAATCTCACAGTTTGGCATGACAACTGCTCTGCCCAGAACTGCACGAAACTACAGAGAATTGTGAACACAGCCCAGTCCATCATGCAAGCCAATCTTCCATCCATTGACTATGTCTATACTTCTCAATGCCTAGGGAAGGCAGCCAACGTAATAAAAGACCCCTCCCATGCTGGTTATCATCTCTTCCAACCTCTACCGTTGGGCAGAAGATACAGAAGCTTAAACACAAGCACCAACAGATTCAAGAAGAGCTTCTTCCCAGCTATTATTAGACTTCTGAATGGGGCTCTCAAATTTTAAATTCAATATTGATCTCGCTCTTTGTGCACCTTCTCTGTAACTTAGCATTGTACTTCTTGTTCTGTTCTGTTACCCTTATGCACTTTGTAAGGTATGATCTGCCTCTACTGAATGCAAAACAAAACTTTTCACTGTACCTAGGTACATGTGACAATGATAACTCCAATCAAATCAAATCAAATAAATATCTGACAAATAATACACAAAACATATACCATCTTTGTAATTTACACATTCAAACAAAATTAAGATAAGGTAAAAAATATATTTTAAAAATATATTTACATATGTTATCCACCCAAAAGTAAAACCCAACATTTCAGTCAAAGCAGTTAATAAAACCAAAGCCTACATTTATTTGTTTTTATAAAATGACTTCAACTCTTAGAAAAAAAAGTAGGAAGACAACATTTTACAGGACCAATCAGATCA